TTTTTTTTTTTTTTTTTTTTTTTTGGATAAAGCTCAACTTCAAATTAGAACCAAAGCCAACAGGAAGAAAATAAAAGCTTATGTAACAATTTAAATTCTATGAAAGTTGTAATCCATTCCAGAGATACATACTGAATCCTAGCACTTCAGAAGAGAAAAATTTAACTTTGTACTGTGGGGATTACTTCAATCCTGAAGCAAAAGACAAGAGAGTCCACTCTTCACTCAGCAATGTCACTGCAGTGGTGGTTGTTCCACAAGAATTGCAACTTGCACTAGAAAAACTAGGCTTTTAAGAAGAACACTAAAGGCAAACTATAATATGTGTTTTGAAATTATGAGAGATTTAAACAGTTATATTTAAAAACTTTAAAGTAGCATATTTCTAATTGAAAAAAGCAAGCCACAGGCAGCAGGAGTACAAAAATGACATTTAAAACTACAGGAAAAGATTTCCACTTCCAACCATATGGTACAGTAGATATCCTGAAAAAACCTCCTGCTACAAATCACCTCACTGAACATAAGAGGACAAAGACCTTGTGTCACTATATTTCAACAATGATAGGGAATGAGAACAGAAAGGAAAGAAGACAGGAAGAAAAAGAGAGAAAGAGAGAGAGAGAAAGAGAGGCTAAAGATGAGGAGAGAACTACAAATGTAATTGTAGCTAAATTCCTTTTTTCATTTTCATTCAAATACTACTAATCCTAGTATTTGAGGATGTTCCAATTTACCAGCCTACAGAGTATTCTAATTTACTAGCCTACAGAGCTAAGGGGGAAAAGCCTTAAATCTGTTAAAAAAAAAAAAAAGACTCTAAGTAAAACAATGAACGAAGAAAAAACTTGAGTCACAAAGGGGAAATAGTAAGAAAGCTTCTCTATCAAAGCTGGGGAAGGAAAAGGAAAAGGGCTGGAGTAGAACGATGGCAAAAGCAAAGACTTCTCTGTAAATTACTACACAATGATTTGCTTTCAAGAGGGAGGAAAATGGAGCTTGTACCCACTGGTCCAAAATCTAAGTGCACTGCTTTAGGGAAAAGAGAAAGATGACCCTTAGGGTAGCTGGCATGAATCTACGGGCTACAGAGAAGGAGCAAAATCATAAAATACCTCCTTTAGAAGGGAGCTGGCACACAAAGCCCTAGCATTTCAGGACATTGCCCTGGGGAAAAGGACTGAGTTGCTCTTAACACTCGCTATGGTTCTCAGCACCCAGCATGGCTCTACAGGACGGAGAGAAGGAATACAACTCTAAGACATTCCCCCAGGAAAGAGCTAGAGGAACTAAGGAGGTGCATCCAAAGAAAAGGTTTGGGAGACTCCCCACCCCACCCCACAAAATCTCTACTCTGGCCATTCCCTCCTAAAGCGAGAACATGAAGATAGGAAGAAGTGACAATTTCTTTACATGTACAGACACCAAACAAGGTTACCAGAATTACAAAGAAATCAGGGAAGTATGACACCAGAAACAAACAAACAAAAAAAGCTCCAACAGCAGACTACAAGGATACAAAGATCTATGAACTGCCTAACAAAGAATTCAAAATAATCTTAAAGAAGCTCAGAAAGACACAAGAAAACACAAAGAGATAATAAACGAAATCAGGAAAACAACAAATGAACAAAATGAAAAGTCCAACAAAGAGATAAAAACCATAAAAAAAGGACCAAAGAAATTTTGGTGTGAAGAATATAATGATTGAACTGAAAAATTCAATGAAGAGTTTCAATCAAGCAGAAAAAAAATCTGTGAACTCAAAAGCAGATCATTTGAAATTATCCAGTCAGAGAAGAGAAAAGAAATAAAACTGAAGAAAGCCTACAGGACATATTTGACACCAACCAAGTGAACACACACATTATGGAGATCCTGTAAGTAAGAAAAACACAAAGAAACAGAAAGCTAATTTGAAGAAATAATACCAAAGAATTTCCTAAACCTGGGAAAATAAACAGACATCCAGGTTCATGAAGCTTAAAGAATCACAAATGAGTTGCACAAAGGACACCAAGAAACATTATGAATTACAAAAGCAGTTGGAGAAAAGCAACCAATCAAATAAAGGTACACCCCTGTCCTATGATACTATCAGCAGATTTCTCAGTAGAAACCTTGCAGGCCAGAGAAGTGTGTAATAATACACTTAAAGTGCAGAATGAAAAAGAACCTACCAACCAAGAATAGTACAGCCATCAAAACTGCCCTTTAAAAATGAAGGAGATGGGGAAGGAAGAAGAAGAAGAAGACGATGAAGAAGACAAAGATGAAGACGAAGAAGAAGAAGATGAAGAAGACGACGACGAAGACGACGACGACAAAGACGAAGAAGACGAGGAAGAAGACAACGAAGACAACGACAAA